ATTCTTGGATGATCCACAAAGCTGTCTCAAGCCTTCCACTACTTTTAACTCTTCACCTCACATCAATATAGTTAATTTTTTTTTCTAGTGATCATCAATTAAGTACCACCTGTGTACTACACACTGGACTGTGATACGGATTCATGGTATAGCAGAGGAATGGACATACCATCAGAACCTTTTCTTAGTCTTTGGGTGAAGAACTGGATTCCCTGGCAAGATAAATACATTGATAAAGAATCAAGGAGGTACTCCATAAAAGTGAGGTGACATGTGTTAAGGGCCCGAGGCTTGAGCACATAGCCAAGCAGTCTTTGTGTCTGGAGAGGAGCTTGAGATCCTGCAGGTCAAAGAAAGGCTTTAGCATCATGTTCCAAGGGCCTTGAAAAGCCAGCTAAAGGCAAGGGGAGCCAAGACAAGGTTGTTTAGCATGGCCAGATTCTATTTCCAGATATAATTTGGCAATGCACATAGAGGAATACTCAGGACAGGACAAAAAAAGTCTGTTGGTAAAAAGACCAACCAGAACTTTGTGGTAAGGAACTTTACTTAATGAGAGCAGAGGGGTTGACATGTGAGGTCTAGATTTACTAGGGAGAATTTTAACAGCTAAATGGGTGCATATTGTAAAGTAAATGACAAGTAATGAACAAGAGTAAATGGTAAATGACAAAGGGACTGTGATATCTCTGCAGAGTCCCCACACAGCCAGTGGTCCTGAGCAAGACAGCACGGGAAGGGAGCTAATTTTCTAAGAGAAAATGAAGAGTATGACATGAATTTATTGTCAGTGTGACTGAGAAGTGCATTCCAGAGTTGTCCATGTGTTAGAAGTTTGGCCGCAAGTTGATAGCATTAGGGACTACTGTGGGTCTTAGTAGGTAGGGCTCTATGTGAGATCATTAAGTCACTGGGAGTTTATCTTGAAAATGATTATGAACTGCAGTCTCAATCCCTCTTTGCTTCCTTGTTCATGATGTAAGTGGCTTGCTTCGTGTTGGATTTCTGCTGGGATGTACTTGAGAATGAAAGTGATGGGACTGCCCAAGTTTGGACTGAAACCTTTAGAATCATGAGTTAATAACTTTTTTACTTTTTATAAGTTACTTGCCTCAGGTATTTGGTGATTGAAACAGGGAACTGATAGATGTTAAGCATTATGTATCAGTGGTGAGTTGAAAACTCTCTCTCTGTGTGTAAAACATACATATACCTACACTTTTTTCAAAAAAGAGCTAGGAAAATTGTGACACAGACATAAAGTTCATGAGTTCCACTGAAGGAATGGGAAGAGGCTAGTGCCTTTCAAACTTTACATGGCCAGCATTTCCATTGGCCCATGAGCTCACACATTATTACCATTCCCTATACAATATACTTAAATGGAAGATAGATTCCAACCCCTTGGCAAGGGTATCTTATTATTTTCCCTGAAAATGTTGGAGGCATTTTACAACTTAAATCAAGTAGATTTTTGCCCTGAGAGCTAGATCCAGAAAAGTAAGTGCATGAACCATGTAACCAAAGTCCTCCAAAGAGGCTCTGCTGACTATTTTTAGAGCGTGATGATGAAATGCAGACAGATGTGCTGGAGGATCAGCAGACAAGGTGAAGAAAGGAGGAAAGGGATGTGTCTCCTAGAGACGACCTGCTATTGAGAAGATAAAAGGGCTCTACTGTTTTCTAAATTTCAATTAGAGATGTTCCTCTTTGTGATTAACACACACACACACACACGCACACACACACGCACACACACACACACACACACACACACACAAAACTACCTTGACCTAGCAGCAATCTCCCTGCCTCTGTCTACCAAATGCTGGGATTACAGGCTTGTCCTACCACACCTTAATATCCTTGCTGTTTTTGTGAGAATCACATCCGTTTCACAATTTTTTACTTAACCTTTTCTGCTCAAAATTAGTCTACTTTTTAAATTTGAACAAGTATACAAACCAAGCAAGATAATTTTAGAAATGGAGACCTGTATCACTCCTCATGAATATTTAAGAGGATTACTTTTACAAGTTACAAGCTTTAACAAAAATGCTTAAAATTACTACAATCTGGCTAGATACTGTTGCTTGCCCATGGCTATGAATCTGACTGAGATCTGTTCCCTCTTTGCAAAGAAATGTGATAAGCAAGCACAAGGAAGGGTTGAAAGATGCTGTGGCAAGGAGCACAAATTTTTTTTTCCATAGGTAATCAGAAGAATTGAAATAAAATTGAAAAGAGAACAAGTTTCTCACTAAGTAATTCTGTGTTATTTAATCTTGGGAATCACCAGTGGTATTCATGGAACCCCTTGGGTAAATTGACCTGAGATTAAAGCTAACAAGAGCAAATGGAGACTGAACAGGCTAGAAGCAGCTTAAATGGGGGTAAAGCCAACTGCCACCCTTTCCCTGGGAGTTTAGTTAGAAAATACACATATTGCTGGAGACATAGCTCAGTGGTCCTGTGCTTGCCTGGAACTGAAAAGCCCCATGTCTACTCTCCAGTACTGCAAAACAAGAACCCACCCACCCAACAAACAAAACAGGACAACTCCCCCCAACACACACACACAAAATACCTTGAAGTTATTCTCCTTGGTACATCGAACCTCTGGAAGCCCCAGAGATCCATGCCCAGTACTTTTAGTCAAGATATTCCTGGCAAGGGGAGTGAGCCAAGGAGGCTTGGGGGGTCAGCAAGAATGAGCTGCTTAGAACCAGTGACAGGAGCAGAAAGCATAACCATAGCCTGTGGCTGATAAGGTGAGGCCTGTGGGCAACACCACTTAGCCAACCATGTGTTGCTATCTTAGCAGCCTCTCTGGGGAAGAAAAACTAGTAGGCAATCCATCTTGTACCATGTGCTTTATGTACAGTGACAGGCACTGGGCCCATTTGTCATCAGGAAGAGAGACCACAGCCTGTGGACAAGTATTTCACATCACTTGCTCATTAGCTTCTAAGATTTGACTTTCCAGGACACAACACAAGTTTGAAGTCATTTGAATTTTTTTTTTTTTCTTAAATGACAACTCTCATCTCACTGTTGCCATGACAGGGATGATGTTCTGATCTTTTTTGCTTTCATCAAATTAATTGCCCATTCCTTTGCAGTGATTTAGAAGCAAGGGTACAGATACTGTCTGGGATGACAGTCAGGCTTTGAATGGCAACAAGGGCTGGATGTTTGGAAGGACAGATACAAACAATGCATGCTTGGGCAGAATGGGAAGAGAACATGAAGGTATGAAATGCCAGCTGGGATGTAACTTCTCTTAGAATACTTGCTTGGGATCTTTGAAGCAAGTGTTAGGAAAACACAAACATTCTTAGACCCTGGAAAGTCACAGTTTTACCAAATATTGTCACTGTTAATTCAGCTTAGAATAACAAAATGTCAGAACTGCAATGCACCATTGGGATCATTAAAGCCTCTCATTTCTCCAGTGAGGAAACCCAGAAGCCATACATGACTTGCTTAAGAGCAAGTCATGAAATTGGCACTAGACTGGGAAATAATCACGTGCTTCTTTTACTAACAGAAGCCGTATTAAAAAAGAAAATAACTGAAAATAATAGAAAATACATCACCTGGGTACTTGAAGGAATTCTATCTAAAATGTAAGTGGAAGTTAGCCTAAATCAATTCTTCCTACTTCTGATGAATAGGTTTTTTTTTTTTTAGCCCGCTTTGCTATCTAGCCATGTAATAATTTTTGTACTCTTAGTGATTAGGAAATTTGCTTAAGATGAGATTAAAAATAAAGAGCAGCAACTGAGGAGACTTCCTGCTTCACTTTCCAATGCTGCAGGCCTTTCTCAAGAATTTTCACTTCTGGAGAGGGGCTGGCTATTGCTTTGAGATGTGAAGGCCTGCTTTTAGCTTTGGGGGAACTTTATAAGGAGTCTGGAGTCTTCCATTATCTGGTGTAGACATGTGATCTTCCATGCAGGGAGCCAACAGGTCAATGAGAAGATGCTCAGTGTCCTGCATAGATGGAAGCACTGGTTGATGCCCAGCTATGTGGTTCCTAAGGATAAGATCTCAGGCTGCTACAGAGGGAAGGAAATGTTCTGAGAGAAGACAGACAGCCTGATGGAGCAGTAGTTTGCTCGGGCCCTTGATCTCTCTCTTTCCAAAGACAAATGTCAGGCAGAAAACAAAACCATACTCTTTTGTTCAATAAAATTGATGCCATCAACTAAAATGAGTGTACTGGCTGTATTTCTCGTGTGCTTCCAAGTGGGCCTCTGAGCAAGGAGATTACTGACCTTTTCCATCAATAACAGCATTGTACCTTGAGGTGTGTGCAGATGCAATCTCCAAGTGCATTCACAGACAGTGCCAGTTGTTTTCCTGGCAAGTCTGAATTGAGGTCACTGTGTCTGCTCTCCATACAAGGAAACTAAGGACAGAACAAGTGAGCTGGTCAAATTTGGGGATTCAAACACAGGTCTCATAATTGTTTTTATTGCAGCTTTGTCTTGTACTGGGAAGAAAGTGTATTTACCAGTGAACACAAAGGGCTCAAGGTTATTGACACAGAAGATGTGGTAGAGGAGATTGAATTTAGAGAAGAGGCAGTGAGATAAGCTAACTAGGATTAGAAAGACCTATACATGAGTCCCAATTCTGGCCCTAGCCCCTTCTGCTCTCAAGATGTTTTGCATGAGTTGGTCAAATCTCTAAACTTCCTGAGTTGCTCTCCCCACCTTCTGACAATGAACTGAGATGAGATGCAGAGGTGGATAGGTACCTGTTCTCCTGGTTATCGATTGCATCAGAGGATGTGTTCCTAGATGCTGTGGATAAGAAACAAAACAGTCCCTTCCTTGGTACCAGATAAAGCATTGTACAAACACCTTCCATTTTAAGGCTCAGGTACTTGCCTCTGCCTCTCCCAGCTCTCTATACATAGGAGATTTTGCTAGTGTGCTCTGTGGACCTGAGACTTCCTGCTCTGTAGAGCAGGTCACAGTTTGGGCTGATACCTGTATATGATGCACGCCGTGTTCTGACAGGTGCTGCAGTTGTTGAGATCTTGGCCTGTCCGATAAAAGTTCCGCCTGTAAGACAGAACATGTTGAGGATAAATGCATAGGCAAATGCCACATGAGATGCACATTCTACCAACTCTGTCTATGATCTTAATTCCCACAGCTCAACATTCATGATGTCCCCAAGACACGTGAAGATACAAGGGTGAAGATGAATGAGGTTGTAATAATGGAACCTCCTATTTCTGGGATGCTTGGTACATCTGAACCACTTTTAAATATCATGTGTTCTTCCTGATCTTGGTCCTGAAAGATGAGGAATTTTGCAAATGAGTGAATAGAGAGACTTATGATTCCTGTAGTTGGTGTTTCTCTGTCAGCACAGTCTCCTATGGCAGTCTGGGTTGATTCCTAGTAACTACTTCCAGGTAGTTACTTCTTTTGCCAACCTTGTTTGATGAGCTTCAACCATTGCTTTCTCTTGGCATTTAGAGCCTTTCTAGAGGGGTGATCACTCTGCACCTCAACAAATACTGCCTGATGTCCCCCACACCACTATTGAGTTCATTATTTGGGACAGCATGCTTTGACTTTCTTCTATCAGAACTTTGGCCACATTTTCATGTAACTGAGTTGGTCAGTGTGAGACTAGCCCAAGTCATCAAAGCAGTCAGGAGAGAGGAAACCCAGCTTAATGGTTCCCTTAAGCCATTTGGAACAAATGCAAGTGAAATTAAAGCAATGAAAATTTGTTAACTCACTCAAGAGGACAGGAAGAAACTGCCTGCTGTTATCCCTGCCCCTTCCCCCATTTACTAGACCCTCATCTCTATAAGACAGTTGGTTTTTGTTTTTGTTTCATTTTGTTTTTTTCTTAGACTTCATTAGTCCCTTTCCCCATCTGGCTAAAACCTGAGTTAACCATGGCAGTCCATCCAGAGCTGCCAAACAGAGGATTATCAAACCCAGGCAGAGAGAGCAGGGGGAGGGTATTAGTTATCTTCTGTGCAAACGAGATCATGGACATTTGGAAGATGTTTTCTTGCAGTGACCTGTGCTCTCACTCTGCCCCTTCCCAGCAAATGACTTCACTCAAGAGGTTTTCAATATAAAGAGGTTCACCTTACCCTTCAGTGAGAGCGCGGGCTTTCTCCAGGTCTTGAATCACATTCAATAGCACTTTAATTTTCTCTTGGTTTGAATGCAGCGATTCCTCCACTGATTGCAGCCGGCCTTGGAGGTCACAGAGTTCACCCTGAGCCAGGTGACTGTGATTACTCCCACTGAGCTCCCTGCTGCTCTGAGGTTTGTACTCGTGCCTTGGAAGCGAGGAAGGGAGGTGCTCACTTCCAAGACCAGTCTGAAGCTCTGGGATGTCTGACTGGCTGGGGAGCTTTGCCACATGCTCCCAACACACAGGGACAGACTTGGATGCACTGCTACTTTTGAGTGACTCCAGGTCTTGGTGATTGTCACTCGATGATGCTGGGCAATCAGAGGCTCTTTCCATGTGGGCTGGCTGGATATGGGAGCCTGACTCAGAGGAGCTGTGAGTCCATGATGGTGAGGGAACACACATCTTCTTTGACTGAGATGACAGAAGGCCAAGGTCTTTGTTTTCAGGGTTATCTTTGGGCAAAAGCAATTCAGGTGTGAGTTTTCCTGTGCCTGGGGTGTTGTTGGCACTGCTGTTGGCATTTAAACAGGAGGGGTCTGATGTCAGCACTTTTTGCCCATCCCCTGGACACATGGTAACCAAAGTGGGTATGGAGTTGCTTTCTTCTGCTGAGCTTTCTGGGCCATAAGTCAGCTCTCTAGATTCCCAGGTTGGACTATGACAAATATCATCTGGAACCTGAATGGCAGCTGTTGCTTTCTCTGAGGACCTCCAAGTTCCAGATTCCAAGCAGAAGCTAACAGGTCCATTGCTTTGCACCTTGGACATCCTAGGGAGAAATGGGTGGGGCATTTTGAGTCTTCGAGGCCCATCCTCTAGATGCTGAGCCAGCCTCAGGAAGGCAAGGTCAGATGATACAACATCCTGTTCAGAGAGGTTGCCGTTGACCTGGATGGCACTTGGGGATACTGTTGGCATTTCTACCAGGGACTTGCTAGTCGTGAGTTTCTTCCTTTTGAAAACTGGGAAATGCTTCCTGAGACTAGGGGAGGTCTGGATAGAGATGCTGCGAAAGCCTCCTGCCTTATGGGACCTGGGGAAAGACAGTGAGTAGGTGGTAGGGTGATGGTGCCGGGATGCTTGCGCCTTCCCCTTTAGACTTGGGTCTTCAGGAGTTTGGGTATCAACCTCAGTTAAACCAGTTGGACTCTTAATGTTCCCATCTTCCTTGAATCGTACTTGCTGCGACTTGCTCCTGCGGTGGTGTGGTTGTTTCACAAGCTCCACAGACTCAAGACTGTTTCGCTTCAGGAGCACAGGCCTCACTTTCATGCTTTGCTGGGCCATCGAGCCTCAGTGAGAGGGAGAAGGACCACACACTTGTCCTGGGCACATTTCCCTTAGGTCTTTAGAGCAGTATCTAATGATGGAGACAAGGAGAATGGCCAAGCAAGATGTAGTGGTCCACTTTTCTTTATGCAGGAAGCCCTGCCGGCCATTCCCAGCCTAACTGTGCTACTTAGGAGCTGTCTGGAATGCTTCCCCTGCGGTTGAAATATTATGTCACTGTAGTCATAATCACCGAGTAGATATTCAGTTGAGTTCGGCTAATTATGAAACATCTGACCCACCAGGAGACTGATGGGCTTATCTATCAGTGGGTTCCAAGAAACAGTTCTGATCCTAGAAGACACTTGATGTCTTGAACAAAAAGACAACAAAGGTACCATTTAGGGAATAGTGCCACACTAGGAATGTGTGAATTCTGAAATGAACCTGTTATGTCTGGACCAGATGGCCGCTTTTCCCAGAGCGTTGAATTGCAGTGCAAGGCTATGGGAGCCTTAAACACATCTTCTTGCCATAACATGCAAATAAACAGAGTAAGAGATGACCTAGAGCTTTGCTGCTTAGATGGTACATGATGTTCCTAAGGGAACTTCCCCACTTATGTCAATCAGAAATTTCTCCCCTGGGACCATTATTTTCTTCCATGTTGCTTCCCTGTGTTTCAGTGAGGGAAACTTAACTTCTAAATAGCTTCACAAAATTCAGAAGGATCTGAGTAGGGCAGAGTCGAGGCATCAGGGAGACTCAGAGGGCTGGGCTCTCTTGTGGAATCTTGGCTGAAGTTCACATGTGGGCAGTGAGCCGCTCCTGCAGCCCTTTTTATTTTTTTTGAAGTTGTTCAACTGAGAACCATGGTCACTGCATCTGTTGGAGACCAGACAGCCTTTATAATTAATCAAGAAGAGCCTGGAAAGGGAGAAACCACAGTCACCAAGTTCTAACCTCCTAGCTGAGTTTCCTTTGAGTGAGAGTGTCTAGTATTTAACCCATCTGTTTTCTCTCAGTCCCATTAGTGAGTGAGGTGCCCTTTGGATGTAGGGCCTGAAAACAAAATGCCTGTCTACCACGATCACTTCTTTCTGCAATCATCGCCCAGTCAGCTGCTCTTCATCTAGGAACAACTACCTTAAATAGCATTTCTTTAAGGAGCCTTTACAATGACCTCCTCCTTACCAATAGCCTTAATGTCAGACCACACCATCTTAGATGTCTATGCTACATCCAACACATGAAATCTCCTCAGCAATAAAAAAGAAAATATTGGCATACATCACTTGAGTGGAGTAGGAAAAACAAGCCTGTCTCAAAAGATTGCTTTGCATGATTCTATTTGCACAGCCTTCTTGAAATTAAAACAGAATTTTAATAGACAGCACATGGATAACTTGCCAGGGAGGTGGGAGAGAGATGAAGTGGAGATGGCCATAAAATAGTATCACAAGGGATTCTGGGCTTGGGTTTCCAGCCCTCTTTTGGGCTTCCTGTAGGTTCTGAGTGAATATGTGCTGAGAGTGGATGGCTGAGTGCAGGACAGGTCCACAGGAAGCAAAGGAGAGCCTGGGCATAGGCAGGGCAGGTGGAGGTCCTGGGAACCCTGCAGAGACATGAGAACCATGGTTTCTCCCAGCTGTGACTGACATTTACCTAAGGACAAGCTTCTTCTCGAACATCTTCATTTTTATTGCTTTCTAGGAGATAAATGAGCACAAAATTCTCTGAGGAGCATGTACCTTGTAAGAATAACAGCCACCATTTATTGGATACTCATTTTTTACCATGCTGAGGGCTTTCCACACATTAATCATAACAACTCGCATTTACTGAGTAACCACTAATGTGACAGGTGCAGTGGCAAACACTCTAAAATTCTGAACTCGTTCACTCAACACAAAACTCCTACATAGATGGGTGCTATTCCACCCATCTTTACAACTGATGACACGGAGGCTTAGAAAAGTTTAAGTAACATGTCTAAGATAAATGCCTAGTGAGAGAGCTAGGTTCTGACCCTGAAGTGTGACGCTCCAGACTTTGGCTCTCTAATACCTGCCCCTACTGCCTTTCCAGTATACAATAATCACATTTAACCCTTATAACAGAAAGATGGGCTGTCATCCCAACTAATGAGAAAATTCCAGGCTCCCAAAGGCCAAAGAGATACAATCTGAGTCTGAGTATCTGCAATTGCAAGTCAGGAAGCTTTGGCTGACTCTCTGGGAACAGTCTGGTGTGTGGACAGATGCTGGCAGTGGCTGAAAAAAAAATCTCACCAGGTATAAGAGAGATAGGGGACTGTCCCAACCAAGCCCAGCCATAACAAAGCAGGACAGAGAGGTATGGCTGCCAGTGTGCCTGGGTTAACCAAGAGATCTACAAAGAAAGGAAGTGACAAATGTGTCCCCTTCCCAGCACTTGGGTATCTTAGAGAGAGTGGTGCCCCGTCTTGCTGAGCAGACTCAAACTCTTGGCTTCTCCAGCAGTAATCCTTTGCACCTGAAGCAGGAACTCTTAACAGCATGCTCAGTTCCTGCTGCTGGCAGGTTCCTATGTAAAAGGCAGGGTGCAACCTACACTTTTTCTCTTGGTTTTCTACTTTCTCTAGTGTTCTATATAATCCCCTGGCCACATTGGCTTTCCCCATGCCTACTGCCTTGAGAGTGGGTTCACCTGATCCTCTGATGCTGGAGAAGTATGTGGGCCTGGTCCTAAAAGGGATCAAAGTTCATTTGAGATGCTGCCGTAAAGCTTTTGAAATTAACCACCTTCATATTCTAAGTGTACCTTTGACCCCTTTTCTTTCTCACTGAAGGACTTCAATTTTCTTTTTCAAATTGTTATCTGTAAAATGGGATGATACTTGGCAGTGGCTCAGTCTCATGAGAAGTAAATGAGATGTTGACAAGGAGCTAAGAGCACAGACTAGACGACAGGAAGTGACCAGCACAAGCTTCCTGTCTGCCTGCAGCCTTGACTCCTTGTGGGTCCCAGGGTCTGTGTGGTTGTGTGTTTGTGGGGAGGAGGAATGTAGCTTGCAGCCAGCCAATACCCATGTGCTCTGTAGCCCACTGTCAGATAAACTACGCTTCTCAGCCTTTGCAGAGCAGTAGAGCTGTGTTTAAGAAAGAATGAGCAATTTTGAAGAATCATCACCACCTAATTCACTGACCTGAAAATCAGGCTAGTTTCTGACCATGGAATTGTCACGTGACTCCATAAGGCAATGACCTGCACATCATGCCAACCAACAGCTTTAAAGTCAGTTCTATGATTCCATGACTTTGCATAGGCTTTTTAGGTCTGGTTGAATCTGGAAATATGGTCTTTTCGTGAATAAGTCTCTGTGTCTTTCCATACATGGTTGCTTAGCTTACCTGGATACCTCTGAGGGCAGGAAGCTTGCTGCTTGTTTCATGGTCAAATAATTATTGTATGTTTACAGTAACAAATTCATATTTAAAATTCACCATGATTAAGTGCTGTGTGGGCGTTTGGCACTAAATCCTCAACATGACCCTCCTGTACAAGATTCTCATCTTGCAAAGTGAGCAACTAAGATGGATGGGACTGTCACATGCCTGAACCCCACACATCTTGAACCTCACCTTGAACTTAATAACCTAGACCTCCCAGTGCCTGCTTCTGTGGATTTCATGTCTAATTATCCTTTACTCCTCATTAGCAATTCAACTCCCAGAATGTGAACTCAGAAAGATGGAGCTGGCTTTTGTGAGTACTAGTGTCTGGTGAGCATCGGTTCCATGCCAGGCATTGTGATGGGTGTTTTTCATTTACTCTGAGTCCTTGTGACACTCTTAGAGGCAGGTGATATCACTTTTTTGTTTTATAGATGCGGACACTGAGAAACAGAAGGGTAAGTAATTTGACCCAAGTTTGATTACCTGGAAAATGACAGACCTGGCCTTTCAGCTTAAGGACTGATTGTGGAGTGCAGGCTCGTAGGGGGTGGGTCTCGCCAGCTTCTGTAGGGCTGGGATTATAGCACACAAAACCTGCAGCAGGTTTCAAACTCGCTCTACATTCTCCTCTAAAACCAGCTATCCTTCCAATTTCAGCACTGCCCTTTCTCTGGGAAAGCTAATACCCCTTTTAGAAGTTTTCATTTGACCTTTAAATATGGCTGATTTTTCTATTTGTAAAGATATCATGCACCCATTATTAAAAATCAAATTACAAAGGTGTTTTTTATAAAGAAAGACAGAAAAAAATCACCAGATATGTCAGCACCCAGAGCCACTATGCACCATCAACTTGGATGGGTCTATTCTTTGTGTCTCCTGGTGCAGTGTGTATTATGCTATTTGCATGGGTAGAATGATGGACAGGAAGCCTTCCCTTCAATGAAGGACCTGAAGGAAGTTATCACATTATGCCTCACAGATTCCTGCTATCCTTCTAACTAGGGGCAGGACTCTGTTGTATTGTGACCTTGATCTCTTTAAATATCTCCATTTGATGATATTTAGATGTTTCTAAATACTTGGTATTATTAATAATGCCATAAGCAGCATGTTTTCTGTGTGAACCTTTGCACATTTGTCTAATTATCCCCTCAGAATAAACTCATAGAAGAATTAGTAGATGAAAGCAACTATATTTAACTCTTTGTTGAAATTTTCACTTTACAACTTACCCTTCTGGAAAGTTTTGTGTCTCGATACCCTCACCACTGTGTGCAGCAGGAGGCCCTTTCACCAACGCCTCTGCCCTCATACTTGATCAGTTCATGGTGACTAGTTTGATCCTGTCCTTGTTTTAATCATTGCCAATAAAGGAAAGGAAATGCTATACTTCATTCTTGGCTGTATGCTATTTTAAATATTTTTAACAAGTTATTTTAGAAATGCATGTGGCAGGATGTGCTTAGGAGTGAGCGTGCGAGAAGTTTAGTCAAGCCCTGGCGCTGGAGTTGCAGGCTGTTGTGAGCTTCCTGAAGTGGGTGCTGGAAACCGAACTTGGGTCCTCTGCAAGAGCAATAAGTGCTCTTAGCAGCTGAGCCCTTTCTCCAGCTCTCGGTGATTTTTTTGAACTGTGATTTTACCTTTAATTATGGGCATTTAAAATGTTTGCCCTATACTGTGTTTGGTACAGGTCAAGAGTGAGAACTTGGAACTGAATATCTGAATCATTAGGCTAATGT